ATTTTAAATCCGGTCCTACAAGCGCATCCAAGAATAATATGCAACTTGTTAGCTCAGAATTGGTGAGCAGGGTCCGTTTCAGAAAGTGGGTTCTGTAGCTGTACTCAGGGAAGAGAGTTTCTCGCCGTCTCCTCCCCATCATTAACCCCGTAGATTTGACCCAGTTTAGACTGACAAATATTTATTTTACCATCACATCACAATTCAAAATCACTGTTTAATTTGCAATTAGTGTATGGTCGTGTTTAACTTTTGCAAGTCTGAGCCAGGGAAAAATTTTTTTGGTTAGAAAATCTGGCCCACCTTAGCGTGTAATTGAGTAGTCCTGCTATATATGGCCTTTTTCTTCTGTCATTTATGTCAATACATGAAATAAAATACTTTGATCTTATGTTATTAGCTGTTGTTTATTTGTAAAGGTCAGTTATTCTTAACAGGGATGCTAAACATTGCTTATTAGAACTGTATGCAGAGTTTTGAGAAAAGTGTTTTAATAAATATTGTTTATATATTTTTTATTTATATTTTTATTGTCTGAAAACCATGAGGGTTTAAGTGTTAATAGTTATTTATTATTATTAGGATCAACTTAATCAATCAATCAATCAATCAATCAATCAGTCTTTATTTATAAAGCACTTTTCATACAAAAAATGTAGCACAAAGTGCTTTACATAGTTAAAAGCAGCCCACCCCACCCTCCAACTCACTCCCCGCACTCTCATTAACATAAATGATGTGAATACACACATATCTCCCCCCACCCCCCCACACACACGCACACTTAAAGTCAAATGCAATTCATGAATGGCTGAAATGGAATTTCTGACATGAATCTAATTGACTATGTGCACGAGAAAATGCTAACTTACTGGTTTGAGACCGGATGTGGGGTTGTGCATTTCCGGTAGCTTTACTTTGCGGTCAATCGCTACTGCGAAGATATATTCCAAAATCATGTCCAAAACTCGAAAACGTAAAGATTGCGTTAAGTTACAAAGAGCAGAAGGTGGGAACACTCGCCACTGTTGTGTCATAAAAAATCTAATGATCAATTTTGATGTATAAAGCGTTTAGATCGATCAGTTGTTTACATCACTCAACACAAGCAGAACTGCATTACTGCAGCAGAAGACACATCATCCACATTCAGAAGCACATCTCTGTATAGTGTCAGTTATTATGATTTAAACAGGCAGCATTCAAACTACAGGTGAAGAATAGTCAAACCAGATGTTTCTCCCATTATGTCGAGATCAGCTAGTCAAGTACACACCTACACAGCATGTTAACAAACCGTGAAAAAAGCCACACAAAAAATGAATGATTGCTGGTAACGGTTTCTATACATTAGTATTTACGAAGGGTATGTTGTGACTTACCTTCAAAATTACAGCGGTCCCTCGCTAATAACGTGGTTCACCTTTCACCTCGCTGTTTCACGGATTTTTTAGTGCAAGTTTGCATGCTTTTTTTTACGTCACATTGTTTCCTGCGTCCTGATCGCTGCAGATGATCTCCTCCGTGACGTCTCTCCTGTACAGTACAGAATCGCTGCATCGATCGCTAGCGGTGTGACTCTGAAGTGCAGTACTGTATGTCCACGAAACGTTTTGCACCGTCAAAAAATAAAATTGGCTACTTGATTTCACCTATCCCTGGTTATTTCTAGAACATAACACCCGCGATAAACGAGGGACAGCTGAGAAATATAACATTTGAATCCCTTTTCTCTTTTTCTCTGAGGCGCGGGGGAAAAATATCGACAAGTCGATGAACATCATTTACAGACATATTGGGTAAATGCCCAAGACATCTATAGAAATGTAAATCGCCACTTGATTCATTCATTTGCTTAACTTGTTTTGGACCGTAAACAGGGCGCAAATAGGACACCGGAAACAAAGCTCCCCACAGGAGTTTCCGCACCGGAAGTAGCATATGCTAACGTGCACATAGTCAATATGCTTACCTCCATCAGATTTGAAGAATACCAGATGAAAAAGAGGATCACAAATGAACCTTAACAGCCTTTCATATCACAGTTTATGGACACTTGTGCCGGACAGTACAGCATGACTCATCCACAGCAGAAAGCTATCACGAATGCATTATTAAGTGACTTGATTATTGGTTGCAACCTGCCCCTTTGAATTTCAACCAGCATTCACTGTGTGCTTCCTCACTGAGCAAGGTGAGAAACATGATAATGATGGTGATCATCTTGACAATCCAGAGTTCTGGCATGACTTAACCTTGAAAGATCAGGAAACAGTAGGTGCTGCTATGGCAAAGACACAGCGCCTGCAGTGTTTTGCGCACACACTTCAGCTGGTGGTGAAAGATGGTTTGTCAGAGACCAAAGTGGCATCTCCTTCACTTTCAAAGTTATCTAAGCTCAGCTCTCTACTGCACACAAGCACAACTTCAAAGATGTGTTTGAAGCTGAATTTGGTGAACAGAAAGCGATCCCTGCAGCTGTAATCACAAGATGGAATTCAACACGGAGACAAGTGAAGGCAGTTATCCAATGTGAACATCTAAAACTCTGTGCTGTTCTTGAAATGGCTGGGCACAAGGAGTTATTATTCACAACACGAGAGTGGAACCTGTTGAAGGAGATGGTGGACATCTTGAAGCCTTTTGGAGAAGCAACAGATTTGACACAAGGTGAGAAAATAGTCACGATTAGTGCTGTTGTTCCATCCGTGCTGTCCCTCAATCACCACCTTGAGAAAGTGAAGCCTCAAGTCCGTTTCCTGAAAGGTCTGGTCAGGAGCCTTCAAGCATCTTTGAACAAAAGATTTCTTGGAATCTTTATCAATGTGCGAATGGCTAGAGCAGAAGATGGGATCACTGCCCCCTTTTCAGATCCAGTGTACCTTAAAGCAGCTGCTTTGGATCCAGCATTTTCTCTGTTGTGGGTGGAACACCATGTGTTGGGCAGTGTGACATAAAGACAGAGGTGACACAGAAAGTTAAAGGTAAAGATTGAATATAGTTTATATTTTTTCTGTATTTTTTTGTCTAAAATTGTAATAAAGGCTCTTTTGCTGTTGTTAATTTGTTTTGCCAGATCTGATCCTGCAAGATGCGGCAGATCCTGCAAAGTCAGAGCAACCTGTCACTCCTGGTGAGGAACACCAAGAGGCTGTGAAGATGGAGGACTCTTTGCTGCTTACTGTAAGAGGCAGAAGAAGGATGTGGGGAAGAGTCCAGCTCTACAGCTAAGTCACTACCTGGATATTGCTGATGGACAGAACGCCCTCTTGTTCTGGGCAATGAACATGCAGACTCTTCCTTCTCTGTTTCATGTGGCCACCAGAGTTTTGGTAGTACCTGCATGTAGTGCTCCTGTGGAGCGAGTTTTCAGCTATGGTGGCATCATTCTACGGCCTCATCGTGCACAAATGACTGACAGACTTTTGGCCAATTCGGTCTTTTGGAAATGCAATGCAGAATAGTTAATAGTTAACTGAAATAGTTAAAGTGCACATTCTTGCACATTCTTGTTCATTGTTCATATATGTATATATATATATATATATATATATATATATATATATATATATATATATATATATATATATTAGATGAGAGAGAGAGGACAAGCTAATCACACTGCACTAAATTTTTACTGCGATGGTTCATTGTTTTGTACATAAGGAAATCTGCTTCTGCTTTTGCATTTTTCACTGAATGTTTGTTCTGTGAATTTGTAATTTAGAGGAAGACTGTTCTTCCAGCAAAGTTTAATTGACCTGTACAAGGTGCAATTTCAGAATTTGTTTGTGCATATTTTGTAAGTTACTTGTTTCATCAGGTGATGAGATAAATACAGATTTTTAAAAAAAGAGAGAACACATGGTCTATTATTTACACCTAACATATAACTGCAACATTGTTTTTACAAAAAAGACTTGAAAGGACTTGAAATTCAAAGTTTCGGACTTGGGACTTGACTTGAAAGTTGTCTGTCTTGACTTACGACTTGACTCTGACTTGCTTGACTTTACTTGAGACTTGACTTGTGACTTGAGGATAAAGACTTGAGACTTACTTGAGACTTGCAAAACAATGACTTGGTCCCACCTCTGGAAATTTGTATTGTCAAGGCTCCCAAATATGCTATGTCATTTCGTATATTAGATGGGAATCTGTGAGGACTGAGTAGGAACAAAGGCCCACCAACCAATACTAACAAGATCTAAGTTGTCACATATAATATAATTTGTTTTCTTGTAGTTAGTTTTAACTATAGGATCAGATCAGTGATATTTTGATTAAATCTAAAATCTTTATCATAGATGATCATCTTTAAATTATTTTCCCCAAGTCTTGGCAATGAGAGAACGTGAAAAATAATTGTTCTAAATTGCATGCATCATAAACTATTTCAGTTTATTCTTTTTTCAAAAAGCTTTTCTTCAAACTAGAACTTAACTACTGTTAAGATTGTTCGTAGCGTTGGGTCTCATCACCAGTGACGCCTCACTCAGAGGGTTAACTTGACTTTTGACATGATTCTTATTACAAAGGCCACTAGAGGGCGTTTACAGCACACGAGTCTAATCATGTTTCAGATAACATTGTAGAATCCTGCCAATATAACATTTAAGTATAAATAAATTATTATTAATAAAAACATATTTAATGTTAATTATAATACACTCATACACTGGCACACATCAATTTACATAACAGAGGGGGAGATACTTTGTCTCTTGTCTTGTAGTCATGAAACATACATATATATGTACATATATGTATGTGTGTGTATGTGTGTGTGTGTGTGTGTGTGTGTGTGTGTGTGTGTGTGTGTGTGTGTGTGTGTGATTTTCTCATCTACACGCCAAACATAAAAAAGGATTGAAGGATTTAATGTTAAACATTAGTCCTCAAGAGAGAAAGTCGATTTCACTATGAAATGGCCATCCCACTTCTGCGTTTATGTACACTGTAGTCGGCCCGGGTGTGGCTTAAAAAAAAATGTTGGTCTGTCTCCAAAGTGCCCGGTGTTCGTTATAAAGTGACCGTGACAGTCTGCAAGTTAGAGACTCAGACATGTCCAACGCGAAGGCAGCTGCCGTCATCGGGCTGGGAGTGGGTGCAATGCTTATCACACAAGGTGGAGATCCGCTGGGCTCTGTGGGCAGCTGGTACCCGATATGGAGCGAAATGGGCTTACGCGGTGCCCCAGCCCGGGCCTTCTTTTGCTTCTCCGTCGGTGTTCTTTTCTTCGCTATAGGCTGGCTGTACCGGCAGCTCTTCAGTCCTCTGGAACTGCTCAGGTCGCCCGAAGACGTGGGATACGTCGAGGAGGACGGTCGCACCAAAGCGCAGGCAGCCAACGACGCCAGGCGCAGGAGGAAAATCGGGGAGCTCCCACCGGTTTACCCAAACGGCTGGTACCGAGTCCTGGACTCACACATGCTGCAGAGGGGCGAGGTCAAAAGTGTGTCTATTCTAGGTACGATGCATAGTGGTGGTTGGATCACTGCTCTTAACAGGGAATAACAGAAGAAACACAGTTACGTTACAGTATATGGTGTGCAAATGCTAAGTAAAAGAAACAAAAAGCACCAGCAAAAAATAAATAAATCAGATGCTGGTATACGGGCAGGCTGACTAGACAACGTGTTTATTAACAGAGTTGCAGCAAGTTAAAGAGTCATTTAAAGCTGTAAACTTAAAATTAGGCTATATATGTGTTCAATAAAAGTTTGGGGGATATTAAATGTGTGCTAGCAGCTTACTTTGGACTTTGGAAATTGGACAATGATGTAATGACCCTTCGTGACTGTTAAAGTTTAACTCAAAGTTTGATTGAGTGATTAGACTGAGCTTTGTAGGCTTATATGTAGGCTTATTTTTACAGGTGTTTATTTGGCTATGCATGCCTTTCAACAATATCAGAAATTCCATCTGCAGGGCTTTTCCACATAATTTATGGCTGACATAATTTTAATAATGGATAGTTGTTAATGGTTAGTTATTTTTGTCAAAACTGCATTTTTGAATGAGTAAACAAATTGCTGGTTGTTTTCTGGGTGCATGGTGAAAGTGTGGGGTACAGTATGGGGTAAAGTATAAATGCACCAAATTCAGTTTGCCCCCATCATGAGGGATAAGCTGAATTTCTTTTCAAGCAGTCAGGTAAGTGTTACAAGTGCCCGACACAGAATTATTTAAACTTTCATTCTCAGGTGTGTAAAAGAATAAGTGTGATACTTATTGAAGCACAGCAAGTAACATTATTGTCAGACCTTTTAGTTGTTTGCCACCTTTCCAGCAACCCAGATGTTTGCTATCTCATCCAGGTAGGACTGTTGCCAAGACAGACGAAACAAGCTCACATTACAATATTTTTGGAATTCAGGGAATGTAAAAGCATTTCAACACGTTGGCCAGGCCTTTGTTAAGAAAACGGTTGTGCATTATGGTGCTTAGTAACATTTTTTCTTTTACACAAAGGTTCAAGCTTCACCTGCATGTTTGGTTTGAAGGCGCCTTGGAGACACAGTGTTGCCATTACTGATGTTAATTACTTCACGGCAACATTAGTGCTTTGAAATAAGAGCTAGTTTCTTCATTAATTAATGCGTTAATAATTTTCTTGATTAGAGAATTAGAGAAGAAAACTTTAATGAATGCACATTTTCTAGAGCCTTAGGTTTGTTTTATAATTGTTTTTTATCATTCTGGTAACTTGCAAGAACTCTTCATTTGAATATCTAGTGTTTATTCTTTTTCTAATCCAACACTTGTTTATTATTACATCACATTTTATTATTAAGATCTGTCTTTAATGATAAGGTTTGATGTGTGAGCACTAGCTGACCCCTTTGATCTCCTGCATCAGGTTTTTCTGTGATCAACAACAAGACGGTCTCATCACTGATGGCCTAAAGTTTATGTGTATTGATTCAACCGCTGTTGTGTTTCACTTACAGATTTGTGCTTCTCATGTTGATATGTGGTGGGACTGTTTGATCTCTTCAGAGAGTTTCTTTGAGTTTGAGTTCAAAAGGGTTTCAAAGAGCCTGTCGGGCTTTTTAGGTTTCTGTCACATAGCTTTCAGTAAATGACAAACAAACAGTGTATGAGAGGATTTCACACCTGGAAAAGATATCCACCGGTAAAAAGTGAGACTTGCTCTTGTGGATTCAGCTCACAGTTGTAAATAACAGTCATCTTTTCATCAATTGCTCTTTAAGTGAGTTACACAAGTTAGCAACATACTGTAATCCTGTGTTCCTGCCCTGTCTGCAACACCCTTCATAAAGGAAAAGCAAACATCATCGAACAACAGTTGAGTTAGGCTGTTGTGCTACAAAAGTCTCCACCAACTGACTTCACCAAATACAACCTTTCACGTCAGTATACATTTTATTGGATCTTACAATCAGAGTTAGCAAAGCAATCTACTGGTCTTCACATCAAGGTGGAGCTGTAGTTTATTAATGCAATCTTCATTAATGTTCGTGGAGACCTTTTCATTTGTTTGTTCGTTCTGTATTTATAGAACGACTCATTTACTAGATCATTGCATTTTTAGATTTGTATGAGGGTTTGGCATTGTAGAAATACACCGTGCTCAAAGGCTAGGTATGTCCCAGGCCTGCGTGAGTGTGAAGGCAGGCGGACTGAGATGAACAAAAGAAAGCTATTTATTAAAGGATGATGGCAGGATTGAACAAATGCAAAACACAGAGTACAAAGGAAACTGAAAACTACAACAACTTGAAACCTAAACGTGGAAACACACTAAGGCCAAGAAAACAATGAAGCTAGGAAACAAAGAGGGAGGAATAAAGCTGGAATCTCATATTTAAATGAGATTCAGATTTATTTCTCCCTCTAGAAACTAGAAAGTAAAAAAAAAAAATCAGCACCATAACAAAGCCACGTTATAGCAGCTACTATTTTCATTTCACGCCAATTTGAAACACCACCTGATATCAACCACCACAGACATTTTATACATTCCAATGCTGTCTGCTGTGATTTAACTAATCCCCTTACATCTGTTATATTTATCCTTTGTAAACATGTTTTATCAGAAGAGAGTGTCGCCTCTAGTTGAACTGCACCCAAAAGTGAACTGACATCATAGTTTCTATGACTGGCACTCTGTATATGTTTATGGGACTAGTAACTAAAAGGGATACCATAACACCAATATCAGAAATGATCAAACACGTTGTGACTGTGCAATTATTTTTTAACCCTGTCCATAACAGAGAATCACGTTACAAACTACAAGATGCATTTCCATCGCATTAGCTTGTATTGCTAGAATACTTAAATCCCAAGTCAATTTGCTGAACCAACTTAAATGCATTGCATTGCTAAAAAGATCATTAGAATTAATCCAGGTAAAGCACAAATTTGAAAAAGTTGTTGCACAAAAACAAAACGAAAATAACTGAGTTGAATGGCATTCCTTCAAAAAAGGGAATGAACTTTTATGTTTCACTGGAAAATACATGAAAACAATCATGACAGTTGAAAATAAAAATAAAACATTTTAAACTGTATAGTATAGTAAAAAAAGGCAATATTTTTAAAAACAGTATTTTGAAAAAATTTTGTTTTGAAAACACACATTGAAAGCTCACATGTCATAAGGAGCTCCATATTTTGATATTTGAATGATATAACTATAGCTTCAGATATGCTGATTCCCTAAAGCTGCCTTGAGGTTTATTTTGAAAATATTTCATTTCATTTGATTAACTGGGTGCCTTTATTTCGAAAAACAAACAACAACAACCAACACTATCTGGTACATTTAAATCATCTTTAAAAAACAAAAACACATTTTTTTCATGTCTATAACATAAGAAAAAGAAGCAATTGCAAGGTTGCAAGGTTTGCAAACATAAAGATATCAAAAAGCTGGAGGTAACGAGTGAAAGAGGCTTTGAAGAGAATTTGGAAAGTATATATGCTAAAAAAAGATAAGCAATTGAAAGGTTTTGTAGCTAAAAGTTTTCTCAAGTAGATGCATGTTGACTGATTGGTTTTTCTACACGTTGGGAATCTTACTGTGAGTACAAGTGTGGCAGGTTATTAGACCTCCTACACACTGCAAGTGTGATGCAGAGCAGTGGTTGCCAATTTGAAAAGTTGCCAGAAACCCACCAGGGTGTGTCAGCATGTTGGAAAACATAATAAGAAGCATACAGATTGTTTTTCTCTAGATAACATACACATTTCTCTACCCATAATTCACACTGGATATATTTTATTTTTCTAACTTCTCTTTTCCGCTTTCTTCCTCACTATATCTTCTAGGTTCAGTTCTCCCTGTAGCCCCTGACATTTTACTCCCCCAAGTTCTTTTGACCCAAAAAAAGATTGGCACCCATTCAGGATCTGCATCCTGCTGTGTCTCCCTCCTAACTTTTCTCTGCAGTAATGCATTCACATATTAAATTCTGCTGAGTGTGTCTTTTCCACCGTGCAGTTCTCTGTAGTGTCGTTAAATTCTGCTCTCCCAACAGTCTGGGGGCAACAGTGCAGTGCTGTGTCACCCTTCATCTGGATTATTTGGTGTCTCAGATTCTTTTAGTACCCTGACTAATCACTAGTAGAGCTTGCTCAGCTGTCACTCTATACTACAGTTGCTCAGCTTGCACCAACCTGAGTGCTGTCTGAGCACGACAGATCGAAAGCTCAGCTAAAAATCCAGCAAAGACAGTAGGAAGAGATCTTCTGATCTTGTGTCAATTTAGACATGCACCACAGGAAGCACTTTCCAAGAAGACCTCCACTAGGAACGCCATTTGACCATAATAGGTGTGCACCGTTCCATTTAAAATTTTGTGCCGCAGTAATTCTGATGCAACTGCATTTGATTTTGTTTCAACAAACAAAATAAAGCTCATCAGAATCATTTCAAAGATCATACAAATCTTCTATGGGTGGCATTAATTGTTAATGGAATAATTTAAGAAACACAAAGTTGTGCATTATAAAATGTAAAATCTGGCATAATAATTACTAATTCTGTGTATGGGTTGGGTTGTTTCTTGGAAAATTTGTGTGTTTCTTCGTTAATAAGTGCTGTCTATAATTAGCTATATTGCTCCAAGTAGGGCACTAAGGAACATACTAAGAAGCGGGGAAAAGGGAATATGCTGCAAAGAATGCACGTTTGTTTTTCCTTTCTCTTGAACTGTACAATAAATATGCAAACACTGGTCTGGTTTGGATAAAACTGTACAAAAACTACAGTTTGCACAGTACTGTTATCCACTATGGCCCATTAGTGACAGTTCACAAACCCAGTATTAAAACCTTTCTCTGCTTATAATCATAGGTGAGCAGGTGGCAGTGTTTCGGGGCCACGATGGAAAGGCCTATGTGGTGGATGCCTACTGCCCTCACCTGGGTGCCAACCTTGCTGTGGGTGGACGGGTGTTTGGGAACTGCATCGAGTGTCCATTTCATGGATGGCAGTTTCAGGGGGATAATGGTGTATGTGTGAAGATTCCCTATGCAGAAAAAGGTATTATAATATTGTTATGTCACAGTTCTAAGTAACCTTGAATGTTTGGATAATATGCTCGCTAAGAAACAAAAATCACTATTTTAGAAAACCTACATAAAGAAAGCAAGTTACTGAACATTTCATTGCGATTTGTAATGAGAAGACATTTAAAGCCTTCATAAATATTAGGTCCAAATCTGAAACTGATGGCAGTTTAATCTTCAGATGTGCATGAATATGCTTAGCCAATGGCTTAAAATATTATATAAACTTAGAAGTAAACAGACCAGGGTCAGATGTTATTGGTCAGTTATTAGTTATTGGATTGGATTGGTTATGATTATTGGTTATTGGATGTTATTGGTCAGATGTTAACTGACATGGGTGTAGGGCTGCTCGATTATGGCAAAAATGATAATCACGATTATTTTCACTGAAATTGAGATCACGATTATTTGACGATATTTATTTCGTCCGCCAGAGCTTATATTATTTTTTTACATGCTGTAGTGCCATTTGTGGGAGCATTTCAAGTTGCTATACATCAATACAACTGTTATAGCCCATATTTTAAAAATGTGTATGCATTAAGTCCATAGTAACTACATTAATTGCAAAAAAGTGCAATAAACTACAAGAAAATTGAAAATCGTTTTTGTTTTTACATATATTTCTACTTGGAGAAATTTAAGAGGTTTATCCCTCAAAACTTTAAATACAAAAAAGTTGCAAAAAATAGTTTACAACAACAGGAAATTTATTTTGAGTGTCTTCATAGTTTTATTTTTGGAGATACAGCAATTTTTATATACTGCAGGAAAAACAAAAAAACAATCCTATGATGCAAATTTGCAAAGAATGTGCATGTGCATCAAAATAAACTATTTCCAGCAGTGCAATTCGAGTTCTAAGGCCTACAAGTAAAAAACTACATTTTCCGCAAAAACGACGTCACTTGCGATAGTTCGCGTTGGCGTCTTGTTCAATGTGGGAAGTTCATGATCGGATCGTCAAAGCGTGTTTCTGGAATATTATGTTTTTGTTCCTGCAAGCTCTTTTTATGCAATTTTTGCAAAGCTATATGTGGAAGGAAACCGTGACCGAGGACAAGCTGATGGCATAAGAAGTACGTACAACTCCTCTGGTTTCATATGGAAAAAAATTTATTGTGCTAGCTTAGCGTTCAGGTTCTACAGGGATTTAAAAATAGTTACACAAAATGAGCATGCTGCTCTGACCGGCTTTAAAGGTTTAACAATAACAATGTATTGAATAATGACTTTAAAAAATAATATAAAATAGTGTGCAAATACTGATAACAGCGCAAATGTTTGCAATATAAGAAATAAATGAAAAATGTGAACTTTGCAGTGTTGCTCTGTGGTGCAGCTACGACACCATAGCAAAGTTTACACACTGTGTCTACTTGATCCACGTCTGACTCCGCGAAGCCATAATGTTTCCACACCACTTAAGTTTTTTTTTTTTACCTCTCTTTTCAACCAACGGCAGTCCACTCCTCTCCAAATAACTTCTGCTTAGCTTTCCGAGCTTCCCTCGGGTCCTCTTAATTGTTGTGACACGTGTTCGAAATGCAGAGCAGTGCGCTTGATTTGCCACATGGAGCAGCGCGAGAGTAAAGCATGAGGGAGGGGCTAATAATCGGCTCAGTCATTTTTAATGATCGTTGAAAGCCCAGATCGTAATCGTGATTAAAATTCGATTAATTGAGCAGCCCTACATGGGTGTACAGAATAGAGTAAATCCTGATTAACCCTCTACTGCATAGCGTTGCCCTGAGGCAACAAACCACATTTACATGCCTTACGGTGGCCCTTCAAAAAAAAAAAAAAACTTTTTTTTTTCAAACAATGCTACCAGGCACATCTCTTTCCAAGAAAATGATGAGTTGAAGGAGGTGTGACTTTGATTTGGGGGGGTAGGGCCCCTTTCTGCAAGCTGCACTACATGAGAGACATCTCCATTAGGAGGCAAGATAAAGATCACTATTTTACATGTTTATAGTGAAATAAATGTATATTAAAATATACTTGTATGTGCATGAATATGTTAAGAAGCATATTTGATTGTTTGTTCTACTTTTTTAAATCTATTTATACTGTAAAACTGTTCATTTTCATTCGTTGCCTCAAGGCAACACTGCGCAGTTAGCCCAATTTTTTTCAGGCAATATAATGCATTTGGATGTGTGTAGAGATGTGTTTGTGTGCATTTATATGATCATAGTCAATGTTTTTTACTTTACAATCTACTCATAATTACAGGACATGGATGTAAAAACTTTTTATGCAAGGAAACCAAGGGAATGTGCACTTTCTGTCCTCAGAAAGTGAGGACAGTGAGCTTTCAGGGAGTGACAGTGAAGTAGAGGAGTGGATCCCTGAATGAGGTTTGAGGGACACTTAGGAGCTCAGGGGTCAGTGGTCAGTTGGTAAAGTAACTGTCTGTGTGTGTGTTAGTGCCCACATAGTAAGCAGGTCTGGCCAGGATCTGGTATCAAGCCGGCACTTTGAGTAATCTGGGAGAGTAGAAAAGCGCTACATAAAAATCAGTCCATTCACTATCTGAACAGAGTTTCGGCATGTTACTTTTGCACTGTTTTGCATGTTCTGGCACATGTTGTTATTGCATGGCTTGATTAAGGTACACATTATGCTGACATCTGGGGCCAGAGCTGAAACCGTTCTGGGCCAGCACAGGGCCAGCAGTGTGTCTACAACTGGCCCGTGGCTGCACATCACCTACAGATGGCCCACATACCGCAATGAATAACGGCCCTTTGGTGGCCCAGATCAGGTTTGCCAGAGGTAATCCACACATGGGCCAGCACAGAACGACCAGGGTGTCTGAAACTGGCCTTGTGCTGGCCCATGTGTGGGCCACCTCTGGCAAACTAGGTCTGGGCCACCAAAGGGCCGTCATTCTTTGCGGTATGTGGGCCATGTGTAAGCATATTGTGTGGGCCTGATCCCTGCCATACCAATATTGCTGTGTGGGTGTCAGTGTGTGTGGTCATGTATTACTTATTGTTGTGGGGACACAAATTTGTTTACACACTCATATTGTGAGGTCTCGCCTACTTTATGGGGACAAATTGCAAGGTAAATCATTCAATTTTAGGGTGAAGGCTTGAGTCAGGGTTAGGGTAAGGTTCAGACAGGGACTTGTGATGGGTAGAGTCAGGATAAGTGTCCAGGAAATTAATGTAAGTTAATGTAACGTCCCCAAAAGTGATGGAAACACAACGTGTGTGCGCGCGCGCAGGTTCATGGGGTTAGGGTCAAATGTTGGATGTATTTTGGTGTTTTATTGTTTTGTGAAATGTTTACATTGTTTATTTATGTGTTCATCCTTGTTGTACTAATACAACTTATTATAGAATAACTTGGCATTTTACTACCTTTGTTGCACAGTGTTGCCTTGAAGCAACAAACTAATATCTGTTTAGGGGGGGGCAGGGTGTCAAATTTTATGATTGATATATTATTAGGGATCCTAAAGCTCCCCCAAAATAGGGAGAAATATTTTTTTCCCCCAAAATTAAAAAGTCATGCAGTAGAGGGTTAAAGGGGTTGTGATTTAGTCTGGGGTTTCATTTGTCCATCAGTGCCTGATTTTGCCAGCGTGCGCAGCTGGCCCAGCTGTGAGGTCAACAAGCAAATCTTGGTTTGGTTTCACTGTGATGGAGAAGGACCTCAGTGGATCGTCCCTGAGCAGCCGGAGATCACAAATGATGAGTGGGTCTATCGGGGGAGAACTGAGCATTTTATTAATGCTCATATACAGGTATGGTTCATACATCTGAGTGGAAATGTATGGAAACTTGTATCTTCTCTTGTATCTTCTCTGTTTGTCACCTATTAGAGATAGGTGACAAAAAGATATAAAGATATTAAAAATATAATGACATAATGTTTTTCAGTGGCAGAAGCAAGCTTCCATAAGGAATTCCAAGTCACTCTATAAATAAAATCTATGTTGTGACAAAAAACTAATCTATCTTCTAATGATTTGTATGTCAGTAGTGTACACTGTCTTTAGGGTAGTGTTTCTATATCCATCCGTATATCAGTTACCTTCAATTTAGCATCAGTTTCCTTTTCATGGTCACTCCTCACACACTGCAATGAACCATGCATTGTTGATATTTATTCAGATTGGTTCTGATCAGAAGCAAAGCTACAAGCTTTTCATCTCCCTAAAACAACACTTGTGCTAATACTAAGATATCTCTAGAGTATACTAAGGTGTCACGATCCTGGGTCTTATGACCCAGCGTTTTGGGTTTTAGTTCATTTTGATGTTTATAGTGTATGTTTAAGCTCATTAGGTTTTCTATGTTCATTTGCTTATTATATTCCCCTTGTGTTTTCAACCCTTGTGTTAAGTCTCCCTTATCCTTTATGTGTTTCACGTCTGTTTCTTATGTTGTTAAGTTCATGTAGTCATGTCAGTGTTTCATTGTTTCCTATTTTATTTTGAAAGAGGTCCTGTGCTTCTGTGTTTTGTTTTACTCTTCCCCTGTGGCGTCATTATGTCTACTGTGCCTTTCTGTCCCATGTTTCACGTCTCTATGGCTGTGTCCCAATTCAGGGTCTGCACGCTTGAAGTACGCGCACTACGCGTACTACGTACAGTGCGTACTATAAGTACGAGTAGTGCGGAAGTGAGAGGCTTGTGAAATGGGACGGTCTGGCCTTCGTTGCGCTGTTCAGGTTGCCTAGCAACCATGATACTAACCGCAAGAAACGCAAGATAGTATGACATAAATGAAGGAGAAAAAATGTTTTGTTGGTGATTCATTTTTGTCATGACATAACTTTGATTAGTTGAGTATCTGAGGCTGAGACCACGGGACTGTAAAACATGATTGTTGGGCTTCATTTCTGTACTGAACAGTCAGTTCAAGAGTAGTTAGTAAATAACAATTAGCTCTTGTTGTTCATGAGACTAAAGTCATCTCACTGTGGTAATGTAAATATAATATGACCAATATTATAGTATTGTCACATTATTATGATATAAAAAAAAACACCCAGCACGCCCCTGCGGGCGGTTTATCCTTCAAGCTCGGGTCCTCTACCAGAGGCCTGGGAGCTTGAGGGTCCTGCGCAGTATCTTAGCTGTTCCCAGGACTGCGCTCTTCTGGACAGAGATCTCCGATGTTTTTCCCGGGATCTGCTGGAGCCACTCGCCTAGCTTGGGAGTCACCGCACCTAGTGCTCCGATTACCACGGGGACCACCGTTACCTTCACCCTCCACATCCTCTCGAGCTCTTCTCTGAGCCCTTGGTATTTCTCCAGCTTCTCGTGTTCCTTCTTCCTGATATTGCTGTCATTGGGAACCGCTACATTGATCACTACGGCCGTCTTCTTCTGTTTGTCTACCACCACTATGTCCGGTTGGTTAGCCACCACCATTTTGTCCGTCTGTATCTGGAAGTCCCACAGGATCTTAGCTCGGTCATTCTCCACCACCCTTGGGGGCATCTCCCATTTTGACCTTGGGACTTCCAGGTTATACTCGGCATATATATAGATATATAGATATATATATATATATATATATATATATATATATATATATACATATGTAGAGGCTGAAAGTACAAACATCACTAATGTCACATAACTTTGCCGACATGTGGGCAACAGCAATGTTTTAATGTTCTTCGTTATTAAACATTCGCACATAAATAAGTGACGTCATATTGAGTACTTACTATTGACAGTTCACTCTTAGGCCGCTCCCTTCTGCCGTATTTTGCGGCAAAATTATCCACACCCACCGCCGCGCTATGAATTGTGGGATATATGGGACCACGAAGCGTGCACCGGACCACACTTGATATTTGGGGAAATCGACGGCGCATTTGAAGTATGCATTTGAAGTACACTTCGAATTGGGACAGCCGTCATTGCGTGGCGGTGACGTAATCACACTTAAAATGCGTACTTCAAGCGTGCAGACCCTGAATTGGGACACAGCCGTTGTTCTGTCTCCACAGTCGGCTAAGTTTACATGTTTTGAGTTCAGTCAGTGTGTTTCCTTTTTTACTTTTACAGTCTGTCCTATGTTAATGTTTCTAGTTTTGCTTCCCTTGTCTCATCCTGCGTAATTACTCCCAGCTGTGCTCTCCTCCTGTGGCTCATTATTTAAGCCCTGTGTTTTGTCAGTGTTACGTACTCCATCATAGCTGTGTTAGTCGCCCTGTGTTTTCATGTATGATTTAGTTGTAGTTTTCCCAATTTCTATTTGTTCTTTGTTTCCTTTCCAAGCCTGCAATAAAGCAGTGTTTTGAGTTCATTTTTGTCTCAGTGAGTTTTGCATTTGGGTCCTTCTCTTGCCTGCACACAGCCAAAACATGACAGCAAGGCATTTATGCATTTCATGCAGTATAGTCAATACATGTTCTTTCTTGCAATCTTTGAATATATTTAAGGGACTTTACATGTATCTTAGAAATCAACAGACAGAAACAATATACCACATGCTAGCATTTTATTTTTTTTGCTAATAACTAGTTGTCTTCTGTGTAGGAGATTCCAGAAAATGCAGCGGACATAGCTCACTTGTCGCACCTTCACACTCCAAGCATGCTCAGTGGAGCAGATCTACGTTACACCAATAGCAAAATCTGGGAATTTGTGCAACATGACTGGAAGGTAAACTGGAAACACTAAACTAAATTTGATGTTCCCGTTATCCACTAAGGTGAATATGTTCGCTGTTATACCTGCAACTTTTGATTTTGACACTGTTTTTCACTGTGTGTCTTGAAGGTTGACTGGAAACCAGAGTCAGAGCCTAACAAGCATTGTTCTCAGATGTTTGTGAAACATGCACTTAGAGTGTTTGGATGCCACTGGCCTCTTCTGGATGTTTCTGTTGTGGCGAGACAGGTACAGTACACCAGGAATGCCATTTTTTAAACAATTCCCTATGATTGATTGTACATTAAACTGGCACAAATCACTGGTCTTGTCTATAAATTTTATTCAAACTAGATATAACCAAAATAAATCATGCTAGATCTGTAAGCGTCCTTTTAAATTGGATGAGAAGTACATTTCAACAATAAACATTATGTTTCACAGTGCAGTAACAGTACAGTTTGCTGTCGGCATTGTAACAAAACCGGGTTTGACAAAGCTTCCTGTAATCTCTAATGTCGAACATCACTGGCCTGATCAGCCTGAGAAAAATGGTCGTTTTTGCTTAAGCAAAAAACACAGCACAGTGTGACTTTTTGCCTTGCTGCGTGAGTAAAAAAATGATATGCAAGTGTAGCCTGAAACCACTAATTTCCCTAGGTTAACCACAAGGCTGCAGAGGGAGCTGGATCATTTACACGCAACACAAATGTTGGAAGCAGGATATGTTTACTGTGGCCAGCAGTGGGAGATCGGCAGCAATATAATATGAGAGGCAGGCATTATTGAGCTTAACCATGCATGTAAATGTGTTTTTCAAGCATTAATTTCTCATGAACAGACTGATGCTTTTTTGGCATTTAATTATCTGGAAATAAGGCTTGATGTTAAATGATGCAAAATACATTTTTACTACAGTAACTGCTAGTGAATCTGACTAAATGAATGAACCCTAAGTGTATAGATATGCTTATCAGGAAAAGTTGAAAACTTTAAATTGTGCTAATATTACATGTTTATCTTTCAGGTTGGCCCAGGAATAGTATTTCTGCTGTTTGACCAAACTTTCTTGGGCCGGGGTGTAATCATGCATTGTGTGACTCCTGTGGAGCCTCTGTTGCAGTGTGTCACTCACACCATTTTCTATCAGTCTAATATCCCACCTGTGGTGCCCAAGTTCATCCTCAAAGTGGAATGCATTCAGGTGCAGTACCATTATCTTTTATGATAACTATAACACAGGCTTGTTTACATATAATTTATGCTGCCATCATTTGACCCTTATCTATCTATCTGATAAATGGATTGGCTCTTATATGGCACTTTTCTGTTGTACTTGAGAACTCATTGAGGCTCATTTGCCCTTTAACACAAGCACTTGTTTCTATGTCAAAGTTCTTTCTATCTTACATTCATACTCCAATGAACACATCAGGAATAACATAGGTTTTAGCATTTTACTTTGGCAGGCAGACTGGAGCAACCAGGGATTCAACCACCAACCTTACAAATAGTAGATGAACTGCTCTAACTCACTAAGTTTAAGGCAGTATCATATAATGGCTTTTGCTGAAAGGCAAGCAAAGAAGATGATCCCCTCCCCCAAAATAGACACAAAACAAAACAGATCCAACACTGTTCCACTAACATGACAGATTGGAGCTGATTAAAACATATAGGATTTTTAATGATTTTGTCCTGGATGACTTTTATTATCTTCTATATCTTGCTGCACTGAGCCTTAATATCTTCAACTTTCCTCTACGTCACACATGTTAGCCAAAGTGATAAGAGACAACTTACCTGCACTTTGATTGCTTAGTAGCAAATGTTCCCTCTTGTTTTCACATGTGTGTGGACATGTGTATAATAATGTATAAGAACTAATAACTGATCTCACATCAGTGAAATGCAGCTCCTATCTCAGCTTCCCCAGCTGCAGTCTTTGATACTGGGTTACAAATCCCCCTGTGAAAATGACAGAAACTATATTTAAGTTGAGCTTCCAGAGACAGTAGGTACTTTTGGCCAAAAGATGGCAGTAACTTACAGGATGGATGCAAACAAGGAACGATTCTTTATAGGACCAAATACTAAATTGTAAGGTGAGAGATCGCTTTCCTTTTAGTTCACTTTTATTGTCCATTTTCTAGATTTCACTTGGCAAGCACTGCTTGCCTTGCATGCCCCACTTACTCTCATCTAACACCCATAGTTTGTTCAAACAAGGGTTTCCCCCCCATCTTTTAGTCAATGGGTGGGCTATTATTCACTGGTTTGTTCCATCACATTTAAACTTTTGTTGTTTATCTTTCATTTCATATATCAAAACTGCAATTTATTGCTATTTATTAGTGAGATATACCCCAGTGCTGCTCTAACTTGGAGAGATCACTGTGCACATTAACCTCCCACTCTGCCTTTGATTAAATTCAGCCTCCACATTATCACGAGAAGTAACACCACAGTCACGGATAAGGTGTGAATAATCCTCATTAAACCTGATAATTAGCTTGGTGATAAAGACACATAGTTGCACTTTAACAAGAAATAATAGTAGGCTCAAAATACTTTGGGAAAAGTTGTCTGGTTCTTAAAATGTCTAGACTTGTCCTCCATTAAGATTTTCTAAAAATATTCAGACAAAATACTTTGATTAGCTAGATACATAGTTTAATTAAAAACAAACACAAGATAAAGGAAGATGATTGCACAGTTTCATGTTCCAAGCTTATGTTTTTAGATTAAATTTTTTTTTCTCCACTTGGTATTGACAGCAGTGGAAGGGCGTTCTCACTGAAATGTCAGCAGCTGACGGAGTTACTATGGAGTGACATTTAATGAGCAGCACTTCACAAAGAAACCCCTGCTGATAAAGTATTGTAATTTAATGCAAAAAGACACCAGTATAGTTTTCATTATTTAATTCTTGTTATACTTCAGTGAAAATCTGTTCCTTTACAAATTGTATTCAGCTGGGCTGCTTCATTATCATCAAGGACAAGTTGGATATTGTTAAAAATAAAAATGTTTGAAGTAGGCTTAAAACTTTTACTGTATAAAAATCTTATAATTATGTTTGATATTTAGTGCTGTCCCGTGACTCTCTCTTGTTTTTGTTTTGTCTTCAGTTTGAGCGTGATGTGATGATCTGGAACAATAAGAAGTATGTCTCCAAGCCTCTTCTTGTAAAGGAAGATTCAGCCATCCAAAAACACAGGCGCTGGTTCAGTCAGTTCTACAGTGAGAACAGCCCACGGCTGCAGTACCAGCGTGACAAGTTGGACTTTTGACCTCCCCGAACCACAAGAGGAGATTTAAGCAGAGATTATCAGGTCAGAGTACATTAATCTGACGCTTTGGACGAAGGCGTTCACCAATCATTTGTATTTGTTGCTGATGAAAAGGGGAGCCAAGAAGCCTGGCAAGTTTAAGCAATTTAGATATGCATTTTTTTGTAAAGGACTCAAACCTTGTCTTGTTAAAGACCTCTTTTTGGGGTATTTTTGATGTGTGTAATTTTACTTTCCAGCCTTATAAAATGCCTGAAGTGCCACTGAGATTTCACAAACATCTAAACAACCAATACCCTGACACCAGAAATCCCCTATTGACTGTTTGATTGTCAAAACTGTTTTACTCTGCACCAGGCCAACTATCTATAACATAAACTGTGAAACATATACATAGATATCCCAATATTTGCTCTTGACTAAGGGACTTTCTCTGTTTTGTTGTTTTTTAGTCTGCCTGTAGTTTGAGATCATAGGAAAGGCTTCCTTCTTCTGCCTCAGAATGCAGTTATTACTTCTTCTCCCCTGTTATGCTCTTATGCCTCACACTGTAAATTTACATCTTTAATGTGTACTCAACCTTGGCTGTGTTTGACCTGCAGGTGTAAGAGCAGGCGTGTTTGTTTTTTAAATGATTTCTCAGGTTACTCAGCAGCCAGCTGACAACAGTCTCTTTGTTTCAGTGGTGTGACACGACAACTTAAAAGGACCATGCAACAATTTTTAAGTCTTATTTTATTTTATTTTATTTTTCAACCAAGAGGAAGCCTCTGAAGTTGGAGACGAAGGCAATGCAATGTGTCAACAACTGCAATACCTCTAGTGGCCACTTGAGGCTGGCTCCAAACATAATTCAATCCCTACAGACTCCTGTGTTGAAACCTTGTTTACAGCCTGATTAATAAAAAAAAAAAAAAGGTTTCTGCCTTTATTTTGTAGCACTTTAAGGTGTGTGCATTACACCTGTGTTGTCCATAGAAGCAACTTGCTAACCAACCTTGCTAGCATTAGCATTAAACTGAACTATCAGAGGTTCGATGAGATGACTCGAATTAGCTAAGGTGAAGCCAGGTAGACATCTAGCAGTTATGGTCACCTGTGTTCGCATAACATTAAGCCTCAGAACAAAAATATTTGCACCCTCCATACAGTTGTCATTAAGATGAATATTTGATAGAGACCAAAATAAAATTTAGCAACAGGCCAAAAGTATGTGTCATAAATCCAGGCATTTTAGCTTCAATGTCTATGGGAATCTATTTATTTTTGGAGCTCAGAATTGCAGGTTTTTACATTTTGTTCTACATTTCTTTGTCTTGGAAGCTGCTGCTTGAAAACAAATCAGTTTTTGGTCTGTGTGCTATTTCCCTTCAAAACAACACTACTTGCTCTGGCTACATATTTGCACAGTTTTCCAAGGTACTGCTTGTCCTGCTTAGTAGGACCCATGTCATCATCTGCTTGTTGGTTGTATGGCTACAAATGATTCTTTATGACTCCAGTTTTGTGAAATATTATGTCATTCATATGATGACTTGGTTCCCATAAACATCTGAGAAAACCTTACACCTACTAAATGCTCGTGCCAGAACTGCTGCTTGTTGTTTATTCCTGGACAGTTAGCATGCAGTCATTTTTTTCAGTGAGAGAGAAGAGGACAACAAACAGCTGTTAGACAAACACACAGAGGTGAAATGGAGCTCTGCAAGCAGCTCTGACCTTTTCCACCTACATGTGCTCATGTGATTCTTTGTTGATATGCAAATCATGATTATAGCAGGCATTGAAATATTCATTGTTTTTTTTTAAGAAAATAATTGTTCATATATATAATGCATTGCAAATGATGAAGTGATCATATCGGTGTGATTTGATAATTGCAATTTATAATGCACTGTCACAAATGCTTGCTGCTGCACATTTGTTTTAATGTGATAAGACACTGATGCTCAATTAAATTTAGGATATTTTTTAAGATTGTGAAAGCAGATAGCTCTAATACATAGAATGCTAATATTTATACTTATATTATATTATTATTATTATATTATATAGAATATTACACTTGGGTGTTTAATTAATCTGGGCATATGTTCCCAATGTAATCACTGATGACTGCAGTACTGTGAGGAGTCTTTACTACACACTATGGTGTTTAACTGTATAAAGGTTATAATAATGTCTTATTGCATTTGCCGATGTGGCTTTCTGCACTTTTAATTTCTGTTGGATTGCATTAGATGAGAGAAGACACATTTCAAAGCAAACAAGCAGCAATGTTAAAGCACAATAGTTGTTAAAATATCAGATAAACTGCTTCCTACCTTCTCAGTTTTAACATGTGCTTTGTGCCTGTCTAATCTGCAGATGTGATGTTTGTATAAATATGAAACTCATGCATTTGTGAACCGGCAAAAGCTTTCAGTTGCAGTGAATATGTTAGTATGTTAAATTGAGCATAATGCTGAAATGTTCACTGTTCTTCTTGGCCAGTGGCACTTCTCTGAGGTGCACATTATTTCTTAGCACTCCTTATCTGCGAATGTACTTTTCTTATCTCAGTTAGAGGTGGGAAAACTGTGTTGCTCTCCTTATACTAAAGCATTACATCAGTACTTGGCCCGCTTAGTGCAGGAAGAAAGTAGACTTGCCATAGTCGACTTTGTGCTAGAGCTGTGTTGCCTGTATTAAAATCTTATTAATGAAGGATGGCTGAAGCAAAAGTGTTTGACACTGAGGAGGAAGGTGTTATTACACTGGAAGAAGATCAACAGTCATCTACAGAGGAAGCTTATTTCAGAGAAGTATACAAATCCAACGGAGAAAAAACAGAAGATGTAAGCGACTCAGTGATAAAGCCTCTGCTTGGGTACAAACATCAGGACAGCAGTGACAAGAATCACAAAGCAGGCGCACAAACAGCGACAGATGGGACTGACCAAAAGACATCTGTTCCACAAGAGCTGGAATTGGCTGGCAGGGATCAGCCAGGCTGCAGTGAAAGTGTCAGGAGTTTGTGCAGTGACAGCAGTCGGCACGAGTGCCCCATCTGCAGCGAGCTGTTCGACTCGCGCGGCGATCACAGTGTCACCTTACTCAACTGCAACCACAAAATATGTCACCGCTGTACAGATGCCATCATGAGCCGGGCCAAGGACACCAGCCGGCTTCAGTGCCCCTTCTGTCGACAGACCACCCCTTTCCCTGAGTGGGAGATTTGGAGACTTCAGGAGGAGTCTTACAGTCACGGCACATATGAACCCGGACCGGCCCTCAGCATCAGTTCAGGTCCTGAACTTCAGCCTGCGCCAGCACCACTGTTATGTTGTTTCACTCTGGAGAGGCAGCTGGAGGCTGACACATGCAGAAATATATGCGGATACTGCTGTAACCCTTCCTGTCTGGTTGAAGTACTGAGAGCCAGGTACTTCCTGTGCTTCCTGCTCCTCCTACTGGTAATGCTGGGCTGTTTTCTGTACATGGTCCTCCCACTTAAAATGCTGTCCATATTTTAGATGAATGAGTTTTCCCACATTAACGAGGGAGCATGGACATTTATCTTTTCTTCTCCAGATTTCAGATGTCACCTGTTCCTGTTGATTGATAAACCTCACTTATTGTCTTCAAATTCATGGTGCACAGCTCTTTATTCTAAATAGATTTCCAATTTATAGATGGCACAAGTTCACTTGACCCCTAAATAATGTCAACTGGAGGTCTGCATGAAGAATTACGTTTTACCACTGTAATAGTTCATCTCAGCTTGTCAACCTCCTGACTCTTGTTTTCTTTGAAGAGTGACACAGCTTTGCAGGATTTGGTGCTACAGATAACAGAGGTTTGACTTTGAATCAAAACTCCTATCTTATCTTTCTGGGGCTCATATTGACCTATTTCTCATTACAACATCTAGGATGTTCTGTGCTGTTACTGCTGCATATTATTAGCAACAAAAAACCCAGCTTGATCTCCTTTCCAACTGCACATGAAGGAAACCTGTCCCTACAATTTAAGCCTGTTTTTCTTTTCTTTTTATTATTATGCTTTGTAGTAGATGTACTTGCACTCAAAGATTTGTTTCTATGTATCTGTGGAAAATGTGTGTATTATCTTGATTTTTCAAGTGAACTGTTAAAAAACAAAATAAAACCTTGCAGAAGTCGGTGTTTCAAACATCAGTTGTGATGTGCAAAAGTTTGTCCACCCAACTTTGTTTTTTTTAAACTTTGTACTTTTATCCTAACATTTTTTTTATCTTCCCTATCGTGTCCTGACTTTCACAGTTTCCATTACCTGGTATTTTTTCATAACATTTCAAACAGTGGAAAATGTCAGGCTGCCTCCTGAAATGGCTTTGACCCACTGAAACATGGACAGAGGGCATCTGGGGGTGTGCTGTAATGGACTGGACTGGCAGTTAAATGGAGCTTTTCTACGGTCACCACTCAAAGTAATCTAGACTACAAGCCTCATTCGATCATAGATTCATAAAGTGCTTTATTCTGTACACTTTAAGCACTTTGTCTGCCTCATATTCATGGGCACTGATGTAATGAAATGTGTAGAAACTGGACAATTTTTGAGTCCTGTGAGTTCCCACATGGGACCAGTTGAAGAAAAACATGTTCTGCCCCAGAAGCAGGACCAGTGCTTTAGGATCTTTGTCACCACTCTGTCATATTCCACAAAATGTTGCTCGACATTTTAAAGACGTTTTTACAGTGTGATTGGCTCATAAACTGTGTATAAAAGCTTGATGTTCCCTCTAAATCATAAAGGCAATGGCAAAGTGATTCCTTTGGTTGCAAAAAGGAAAGCAGTTTATAGATGTTTATGGAAAATTGTCCCTTCTGCTGAATAAATGTGTGATTTTATTGAAAAATGATCATTTTAGGTTATGAATTCAGTTTCTAGCTTCAAGTCTTAATTAATACAGCACGAATTTCATTTTCAAAATTATGGTACCGTATAAAGTAAATTAAATGTAGGTTATGTTTTGGAGCTACAATGTGATCAAGCA